TGTGACTGATTTGTACTGCCTTAAAGAGGAGGATGACCAGTTTTGGGTTATAAATAGCCCTATTTCTAAGCAATTGGCCCCAATTTGACCTCTCAGTGATGCTCTCAGAAATCTTGTATATATTACAATATTACATTAGCAAAGGTGATGTTACTACTTTAAACAAATGTGGTTTAAAATAACATGAATAAACAGGCCCCAATTTCTTGTGATCCTTGATCTGTTCTATGACGGTGGTAGGGAGTTCAGTCAATGAGAGACTGTTAAGAACCTCAGGGGCCAGAAAAAGGACTGCTCTCTGACTCTCCACTTATAACAGCAGGACACTAATACGAGACAACATGATCAAACATTTAATGAAGGAGAAGGCAAGGACAGCCTGAAACATCCTTGATCTCTGAGAAACATGAAGAAAAGAGAAAGAAAGACAAAATTACCATCATGTTGGGAAAAGGAGAAGGCATGAGAACCACTGAAGGAACTGGCTTCATCATCAACAAGGAATGGTCTTTGAAATTCATCTCCTGAAAGTTCAGGTCATAACACTTCAGAGTGCTACACCTCCAACTGAACAAGAACAGCACCCTCTAGATGATGCAGTTCTATGTTGCCACAAGCACAAGCAAAGAGGATGACGTGGAAGAATTCTATTAGGAGCTCAAGGAAACCATTGCTCAAAAATGCACATAAACAATCGGGATGGGAGATTCAGCACCAAAGTTGGAAGAGGAAAAGAAGGTGAAAAGTTCATTGGAAGGTATGGCATTGGCAAATGGAATCCATGAGAAGAGCAACTGGCATCTCTTGTAGAAACAAAAGAAATGCTCATTGGTAACAGCTGGTTTAAGAAGAAGGCAAAGAAGCGATGGACATGGATCATGCCTAATGTGAAGAACAAGAACAAGATTGACCATTTATCTCAGTATCACCATCACTTAACACAAATAATGACTACTGCTTGCTCTGAACATGGCTCAACTTCAACAAAAAGATGGAAAAGAAAGTACTACAGATGGCAAATCAGAGACAGGGCTCACAAATACTTGACAAAGCAATCTTGAAAGTGAACACTTTTAAGGAAGGTGGGAATTTTATATATCACTGCGATGAACATTATAAAACCTTCGCTGATAAGCTGAGGCAATGCATGAAATTAGTAGAGAAAGAAAGATCAAAAAGAGTGAAGGAAATAATCTCAGAGGAAATGCAAAACTTGCTAGAGAAGCAGAGAAATATGAAGCGAAATTATGGTGACAAACTTGAGTACTCCCTCCTCTGCAAGTTTATAAGAAGATGACTAAGGGAAGACTTCATGAAATACTGAAATGAAAGGCTCTTTAAAATATCTGAATATCACAGAAGCCTCAAAAAATGCAAAAGGGGAATTGACATTGTACAGGTCAATAATAATAGTGCAGAAGAACAGGGACAGAAAAACAGTAATTGACAGAACAGGCATGGAAGCAGTCTGCAAAGATTTCTATTCTGAACTGTTTGTGTCTCAAATAAATATCCCAGTTTCAACACATCAACAGACTAATGGACACATACTCCCGGTCCTTGTCAGTAAAGATCAACATGCTGTTTACAAAATAAAGGATGAAAAAGTCCCAGGTAAAGATGGATTGACAATCAAAATAAGAGTTGGAGGCCAAGACCTCTTGGAAACATAGAAGACAGCATCTAATTGGAAGGAATCCAATGCCATTCTGTTGTACAAGAAGGATGATTGTAAAGATCTAAAGAACTATCATCCAATATGCCGACTCTGACATGTCTACAAGCCTTTTACCAAAATAAAAAAGTGAATTTGGACGTGCAGCAGCTAAGAAAGCAGGCAAGCTTTTGAAGGCATTTCAGCACAATTGACCATATTTTCACTATAAACCTGCTACTGGAACCCTCAAGGGAATACAAATTCCCTGTATGTACTACCTTCATTGACTATGAAAAAATATTATACAACACAGAGATCAATGCAGTGCTGAAAGCTTTTGCAGAGCAGGGGATAAACACAAACTATATCAAACTATTAAAAGGAAGCAAATTTTGACTGCATTACAGATATAATTTTACTTGATACTCCCCTTTGCAGCCCAGTTAAGAAAGATGTGAAACAAGGAGACATGGGTTCATCAAAACTTTTCACAGCATTCCTCAAAATGGTAACAAGGTGGATGAATTGGAAGGGTTGAATCAACATCAATGAAGAGCAGTTCAGATTTGCAGACAATATTCTGTTGATCACTGAAAATACCCTCCAACCACAGAAAATGCTGCGAGAACTCAACACAAAAAACAACCAAATTGTTGATTGGACTGAAAATTAACCACTCCAAAACAAAATGTAAGCAGTCTGATACCTTGCCAAAAGCCCAAATAACAACCAGGGGAAAACAAATAGAAGAAGTTGAGCACTGTCTATTTAGGCCAAGAAATTAACATGTACAGTAGACTTCCAATAATCCAGAACCTATGGGACCTTGGTGGTGCCGGATTATCAGATATGCCAGACTATCAGGAGGTACTATAAATTGGTTATATATATATACTGTATACATTATATACTGTATATAAAGTATTCTTAACCCTTTTTGTTGTACATACTGTATACTGTAATGTTTTAGTTTTTTTAAGCCTTTTTTACCCTTTTTGCTCAGTTCAGCTGCTGCCGCTGTTACCTTGTGACTAATTTTTTGCCGAAGCTCATTCACTAGGCTCTTGCCATTTTGATGCGGGACTATCAGGAGTGCTGGACTATTGGAAGCTGGACTGTTGGGAGTTTTACTGTACCATGATCAAGAAGGTGAACTCTCACAAAGAAAACAAAACAGGTTGGTGGACACTCAGGATATCTATCAAGAATATCCTCCAAGGAAAAATCAGCAAAGCAATGTGTACCGGCCTCTTCGACACAACAGTATTTCCAGCAGTGTTGTGTGACAGTGAAACATGGGCACAGACAAAGACAGGAGCAGTAACTATCTGTCACAGAGAGGGCGATGGAAAGAATACTGGGAATTCCAACCCATGACCGAGTCCCCAGTGAAGTGATCAGACAGCAGAGTGGAGTGCAGAATGTTGTTGTTGAGAGCAGGTATGGCAAAATGCAATAGGCTGGGCATGTAGTGAGGCTCACTGACAACTGATGGAGTACAGTTGTTGCCAAGTGATACTCAACAGGAACTGGAATGAGCACTTAGTCATCCTCCAAGGATATGGGAAAATTTTATTATGAAAAGATATGGTCAATCAAGGAGAAGGAAGGCCAGGATACAAGAAGAATGAAAGATGTGTTTTGATTGGCGCAATCAGAGCTGAAAAACTGATGGAACAAGGTGATTACGTTTTAAAATTTAAAATTCCCAAGCAAATATCTTATTTGTGTGTTTATGTCTGAATTAGAGAGCAGATTTAAATCCACATATCCTACCCCACAAGTAAGTACATTAATCACCCTCTTTCTTATCCAATGAATATTTATGTATTTCCATATAGTCGGAGAGCTTTCAGAGGAGAGACTGAAAGCAACTACTTCAGAATAGCCAATAGCCTGTTGGTTAAAGCACTCAGTTGAAGTATATGCTCTAGAATAGGGATTCAAAATTAGATCGCCTACATTACAGGCAGGTACCCAAAACACTAGAATAAAGATGATAAAGACAGAGAGACAGGCACATGTGGTATTTGTTGACTGGCTTGATGCTGTAATTTATGCCAATACACAATGTTTGCTTGTGAAATGAGGCTTTGGGAGACAAACTTGCCTCAGTTACCCCCCACTACACTACTGAACACTTACTTTCCACCCAAACTTCTGACCTACAAGAGTACTGAAAAGTTTTAAAAAATTCTAGATCTAGACACATGAGGGTTCAAGAAATTTCTAGATTAGCAATGAAATTAGTAATTTTGTTTAATTTCACCATAAATATTTTAGACCAAATGGCTGCCTTAAATAACAAACACCAGTCAAAACACTCAGTACATATAGTAATATATAGTAATGAGTAGACAACCACACATTGAACGTAGGTGATGTTCTGTTGTTGCAGGGCTAGGTGTCTCCCTATGGACCATCACAATGCTATTCAGAGTAGGTATATGAGATATCGATTAATTTAATAATTATGTAACCCCACCAAATCCAAGTGATTACGTGATTATTCGATTGTCCCCGGGGGCAGGGCCTGGAGCAGGGCCAGAGCCAGCAGATGTGTACTCCCAGACCCACTACCAAGGAGCCCCTGCCACTCCGTGCTACTACCTCTGTGTCACCTCCTGTCTGCGGCCGGCATGCCGTCTGACCCTCCTCCTCCGCCCCATGCTGCTGCCTCTGGTAGAGAGGCAGCAGAGCAGGGGAAGGGAGGAGTCGGTTCCGCAAATCAGCACATACAGTGCCCCAACCTAAAAGTTGGCTTCCCGTGTGTACTGGCTCCTGCCTGTCCCTTCACCCTCTACACTGCTGTCTTCCTACCAGGCTTATCAGTTAATTGTTTTTTACACTAACTAACTATTTCAGAGTAGTTCTTTCTGATCCTCAGGAGTAACAAATACCTACATTTCTTCCAGTCCATTTTTGCTGTTCATGGCAACATAAGCATTACTGGCTTGGGACAGCACCATGTTCCTTTAACAAATATTATCCCATAGATATGGGGTTGCAACTTGGAACATTACATGGATAATATATCTGTCAACACATACTTATATTTCCTGGTAGAAAGCCTTCAGCAGCTTTCCCTTAGCCTCCAATAACATGCAAAATCCCTTTTGGCCCCTTTCCCTCCTTTATGCACGAGAGCAAATGTAGACAGACATTCCATACGGCTCTTTTCTGTCTCTAAGATATTTTCAGTGACAGTGCTACTAAAACTGCATTGTTGAAGTGTGAGTGGTATGTGAAATCAGATTGTAAGAATCTCTATTTATGCTGCATGTGATGAAATATCTTACAGCCCAAATAAATCAGATACAAGAAATGCAGTTGGAGATCTTACTTCAAATGGGAGCTCTGTAAGTTCTACATTTCCAGACAAATCCAGTTTTTCCAGATTCTCACAGTCTCCCAGTTCTGGAGGGATGCTCTTCAAATTATTAAAACTCACATTGAGTTCTTTCAGTTGTTTTAAACAACCTGTTAAAATAAAGAGCTAAAATCAGTGGAGCTGAAGTACAAAGGAATCAAAAGTCTATTCAGGTTAGCAAAGGAATGGCCACCCAACCTGCCAGTTAGTAAACAAAAGAAAAAGTATTTTAAAATATTTTTCAAAACACTGCTGAAGTCACTCTGGGCCCTGTCCTTTAAGGTATGGAATGCTCTCAACTCTCAATGAATTCAGTGGGTGCTCAGCCTCTTACTAAAGGCCTGATCATGCTTCTGTTGGCATTAATGGCAAAACTCCTATTGACTTCAATAAGAACTGGATCATGTGCAGGTGTAGGCCCTTGGTTACTGCTAAAAAGGAATAGAGAGATTGTCTTTCAGCTGAAGAGTATTGTGACAATTGGCATGGCCTTTATCGTTGTTAATTTCTCCTGTCACCAAACTTATTGGAGGACATCAAGAAGTGCCTCTGGCATGTATCAAACATTATATGATTGTTAGTGTAATCTTGGTGACTTCAGTGCTCATATCGGATATGGAAATGTATATAGTTATTACATTATTTGCCCTTATTGAAAACTATGCTCCTTGCCAGCTGGATCTTAGACATGGATGATATTTTATGGTATGTTTAGTCATATTTTATTTGCAGCTTGGCTTATAAAATGATATAATCCTCAAAAATGGTTTTGAAACATCATCAAAATGCAAGTTATATTTTGCTGTGCATGTAGAAAGCAGAATTTGTTTTGTTAGCACATGGGTTCTCAATATATTCATAGCAAGAATCATGTTTTTTAAGGAGACTGTTTGATGGACAACTCCTCTACTTCATAACACACAGATAAATTCCCCTTTCACTGGTATTCAAATATATCCCTTTGGCAAATACTGCCATTGTTTACATGGTAAAGAAATATTAGGAGAGTATTTAATATATTTTAGCTACCTCGAATGCGATTCAGAAACTGGAAATAAGGAAGAAAACCAGCATCAGGTGATCAACAAGCTCTCAACCATCAAGAGATCCATATCTTAGGATGAGTATATAGCATGAACAAAACCAAAATTACTCTATATACTACTGAGGCGCATATCCACAGTGAACCCTGCAAAGGATGAGACCTAGGCCAGTTTTATGGAAGTAGAAGCCCCCACCCTTGTTCTGTGGCACCTGAGACAGATTCACGGAGCTAAGAGACATGACCTGGACTTTAATTTTTATCTAAGTTCTTTTACTCCCATTGACTTCAGTGAAGCTTTGCCTCATAACTGTGTGAGTATTTAAGCTCTATGCACACAAGAAATTATTTCTTTTATTTCTTCTTGAGTGGTATTTCAGTTAAACTGTCAAGAGAAGATTTCACCTCTGGACTACAATAGACAGATTTTGTCAGTGTAGTGCCATCCCAGAAGATTTACTGAGCTGGAGCAAGGGGATAATAGAAGTAGCCTTGGGACTGATAATGTTTACCAGTACATCAAAATATAATTTTAGCCTATCAAATGTAACTTTTTTAAATAAATGAAGATATTTGTACTATTTAGGCTGTGTTATATCAAATTATCACCTCATTATAAGAAAAATATGTCACTGACCCATAGATGTGTGGAGGAAGAACATGTCAAGTTGGATGAAAAAGATTTCTTTCAACATGGACCCAGTTACTTCTTGACTTTAAACAGGAGTAAGCCCCACTGAAGTTAATAGGAGTTGGCATCATTTGCACCAGAGGAGAATTTAGACCTAACTCTGTACACCAAGAAATGTTTGCTAAAATTTCTCACAATCCCTATTATCATTTCTGCTCTACTGGTGGATAGTGTTAATATACACCAGGCTTCAGATTACTACTGGGCTGTGCCTAGACGGGCAAGTTTTTCCGCAAAAGCAGCTTTTGCGGAAAAACTTGCCAGCTGTCTACACTGGTCGCTTGAATTTCTGCAAGAACACTGACCATCTCATGTAAGAAATCAGTGCTTCTTGCGGAAATACTATGCTGCTCCCGTTCGGGCAAAAGTCCTTTTGCGCAAAAGCTTTTTGCCAGTGTAGACAGCTCAGATTTGTTTTGTGCAAAAAAGCCCCAATCGCGAAAATGGCGATCGGGGCTTTTTTGTGCAAAAGCACGTCTAGATTGGCACGGACGCTTTTCCGCAAAAAGTGCTTTTGTGGAAAAGCATCCGTGCCAATCTAGATGCTCTTTTCTGAAAATGCTTTTAACGGAAAACTTTTCCGTTAAAAGCATTTGCAGAAAATCATGCCAGTCTAGACGTAGCCCTGGTGTTTTAAGCCCTTTGTTGTTTTAAGCAAACAACTCTGCTCAGGGCCGATCTTCAGAACATAGCATTACCACTGGTGAAGCTGAAATGGGGATAGTAACAGTGAGAAATCTTAACAAATTTGTCCTACTGTTTGAGCAGGATGAGGGAACAAGAAATACATCATTTGTATCTCCTTCCCTATGAAATGAGTATCCGGTCCAGCCATCCCCAAGATTAATCAGCCAGTTTATTTAGTACTCTGGGGTACTCCCTTTTTCTGGCTGCACGGAATGGGTCAGGGTTTGGTCCCACATGTGTCAATACTACATTCAGATGGTGCTCAAGCATAAATTCACAATTTAAAAAAACCAGAATAACAAACCTGATGCTGGTACAGCTTCATGGTTAACTTCTCTTTATGAGGCTAGTGCACTGAGTTTTCCATTCCATAAAAAATATAAATTAGCGCATTAAACAGCTAACATCTTTTCATATTTTCCAAACACAGGCAGTTAAAGCAGTAATGAAACCCATAGTTTCCCTGGCAATTTCATGTCTACGAATATTTTATTTTTAATTAGAACCTGCCATGCCATCACAATTGGTACATAATATACCTTTTATTCTCATTTGATTTTTAAACTCATTATTTAAAAAATTAAACCCAGTAATTAAACCCTATAACTTTTAATTTTTAATATGCAATGCACCACAATAGTGATTGCTATGCCACTTGAAGATATAGACATGCTTGCATTAGTGCTTCTAAGGAAGTAGCTGGGAGAATAAAGTCATAAAATAGTTTTTATAACCTAAGGACAATGTTCTTCATAAGTGTTTTTCACTCATATAAGCCTACAGAAAACTGCAAAGGAGGTTTATGCAATCGTCTCAACTAGTCAAGCCAAATTATCTGAACATGAGCTTCTTTTGGTCCATTAAAATGTAAATTGTATCTTTTCTTCATCCTCTCTGGTACACCAGTGATTCCAGTCTTGTTTCATTTCAAGGGGCATAAACTCTAACTTACTGATGACAATTTAAATGTCAATAGTATTCATTATTTCACTGTTAATCAAAGTATTCCAGAAAAAAAGAGGGATTATGAACTCTTGAACATTCTATTTTAGTATCTGTTTGTGGCATAACAAATAGGCAAAGCTTGGATTTGTGGGCGGCGCTTCAGAAAGTATTGTTGTTTTTTAAAAGTATTATTATTAACAAAGTGACCATGGGTTAGTGAAATTTTGCTCTTTGTCCAATTTCTATATATTCACATCTAAAATTTTGAATTTAAAAAAATCAGAAGGCCAGAATCAATCCTTATTGCAAATGCAATATTTTTCTTGGGCAGATTGAGATATGAACCTTGGGATGAGGGGCTCAGGGTCCGAGGGTTACTGATATGGCAGAGAGTCAAAAAGAACTTAGAAAGCCTCTCTAGCTGATTGTGTGGAAGGGGAAGATGAAGCAGTCCCTATGGGTTAGGAGGATAGACACAGGCTCTGCCTGGGGAAAAAGAGCTAGCATCAGATAGCATTTACGAGGACTGAGAAGGAAGTTCAAGGAGTGAAAGAGGGATTAGGAAAAAAATCTCTGTAGTGAGGAGAGGGCAGAAGAAGGGGAAAATTTGATGGACCAACGCTCCATATAAACTTTATCTAACTGTATATTTTCCTTAACAGATAAAATTGAATACCAGCTCTTATCTCTCTGTGAACCTCTAAAAGTTATATTATCCTGGGACAATGGACATTCTCAGTGGAAGGAATCTAAGGGTATGTCTACACTACAGCACTAATTCGAACTAATTTAGTTCGAATTACTTAATTTAGTTCGAACTAAGCTAATTCGAACTAACGGATCCAGACTAAAAAACTAGTTTGAATTAGCATTTTGCTAATTCGAACTAGCATGTCCACATTAAGTGGACCCTGAACCGGGGTTAAGGATGGCCGGAAGCAGTGCCAGCAGGGCATCAGATGAGGACTTAGAGCGTGGAGCTGCTGCCTCAGGCTAGCCGAGGGCTGTGCTTAAAGGGACCCAACCCCCACCCCGGACAGACAGTTCTCAGGGGTGCCCCACTTGCAAAGCAGTCCTGGCTTGGATTGCCCGGAGTACCCACACTGGGCACATCACAGCACTCAGCAGGCTGCCATCTGGGGAGAGAGGGCAATTGGGGGGCTGCAGGAGAGGTTCCACCCACAGAAGCCCGCAGAGCCAGCCCAGTCCTCCCCATCGGGGGCTCGTACCCTATTCCTCCCTCACCTCCTTCCACTTACCCTTCCCTGGCCCCCCTTCCTGATGTACAAAATAAAGAAAACGTGTGGACAAAAATAGAATCTGTCTTTATTGAACAAAACTCAGGGAGACTGGGAAAAGGGGGTGGGAGAGGGGAGGGCAACTAAAATGATCAGAGGTTTGGAAGAGGTCCCATATGAAGAGAGGCTAAAGAGACTGGGACTTTTCAGTTTAGAAAAGAGGAGACTGAGGGAGGATAGGATAGAGGTCTATAAAAGCATGAGTGGGGTGGAGAGGGTGCATACAGAAAAGTTCTTCATTAGTTCCCATAATAGAAGGACTAGAGGACACCAAAGGAAAGGAATGGGTAGCAGGCTTCAAACTAGTAACAGAAAGTTGTTCTTCACAAAGCAAAGAGTCAACCTGTGGAACTCCTTGCTGCAGGAGGCTGTGAAGGCTACAACTAGAACAGAGTTTAAAGAGAAATGAGATAAAGTCATGGAGGTGGGGTCCATGGAGTGCTATTA